AAAAAAAAAAAAAAAAAAAAAAAAAAATAAATAAATATATGAAAAATTTTAAAAAAAATTAAAAAATGATATAAAAAATTAAGATGTAAGTAAATGTCTTCTTTTTTTTCTTTTTATTATAAATAAGAAATTTTTGTTCATATTTATATCTTTTATATTCTCTACTGTTCTAAAATATTTCCAAATATTCTCAAAAAATAATATAAAAACAAAAATATAAATAATGATTTTAATTATCATTGTTATCAAGTATTTAATTCTTATTTATTTATTTATTTTTATTTTTTTTTTTTTTTAAAATATATATATCAGTCAACTTTTATCTTATATGTTTAATTAAAGAAAAACCTTTTAATAATAGAAGGTAGTTTTATTAAGGAGAAAGTAGATCTACTAAGAAAAAAAAATTATAAGAGAATTAAAATATATTTTTTAATTATGTATTTTAAAATTATAGTTTTCTTTTTATATTTTTTTTTTTAAAATATGAAATATTGAAAAGTTGGAAACTAAATTCTTGTACAATTTTTAAATGGTTTTTTGAATTTTTTTTTCATCTTATATATACATAATGCTTAATTTTTTATTAATATTTTCAATTATTTAGAATACTTAAATAATTTTTTTGAAAAATTTCAAAGTTTTACAAAAAATCAAATTTTTTAATTAGCTTTATATTAAAAAAGATAATAAAAATTTAAATTCCAAAAAAATACTAAAATCCTATATATAAAAATTTAAATTAAATATAAACATTTCCTTATGAAAAGATATTTTTCCATAAATTAAGAATAAATTGATTTTGAACTAAAAAAAAAAAAAAAAATAAAAATAAAAAAACAATGAATTAAATTAAAAACATAATACATAATAAATACATAGTTTTAATCAATTAAAAAAATATTTTTCAATAATTTATAAGAAAATTTTTGAATTAAATAAAAATTTCTATAAAACACAAATATTCCAGAAATTTAAAATTCATTATTTCAATAAATTTAAAATAAATATTTTTATCTTATTTTTAAATGAATATATTTATAAAAATTGGTTTTGTATAAGAGTTATATGTTTAGTAAAACAAATAATTACAAAAAAATTTTTGTTGAAATAATAATAATTGCATAAAAAATGAGTACTGATATAAAAAAATTCGAAAATGAAGATAATGCATTATTTAAGATAAAAAATGAAATTAATATACTTGAAAGTGAATTGAAAAATTGGTTTATTAAAAGAAGATTAAACATGGAATTAAATTATTCTTTAAAAAAACTTTTTGATAATTATAATTTTGTTGGGTTATCAATAAATAATAATATTAATTTGAAGGATAAAATGCTATGGTATGATATAGTAAATGGTAAACCTGAATTAGAAGACAATTTAAGTATAGATGCAAAAGAATATAAAGCAGATCAATATAATAATATGTGGAATAAAAGTACCACAGTAGATAATCCTTGTAGATTAGTAGGATCTATTTACTTCCGTTGTTTAAAAAATAATTATCAATTGAACAAAGCTGATAGAGAATATAAATGTCTTCATAGCTTTATTAATTTTAACAACTGTAGAAAAGCCTTAAAATTACAACAAGCCAATAATATAAAAAATTCTTTAATAAAACAAAACCTAGAAGATACTAATGCAAAGGCTCTATTTGAAAGAAGAAGTTTATTACTAGATATGATAGAGGATCATAAATAAATTCAAAGTTTTTTAAAAAGTATGTATATATAAATATATATACATATATTTATATATATATATTTAAAAGGATAAAATGTAAAAAAAAAAAAAAAAAAAAGGCAGAAAAACAAAAAAACAACAAAAAAAAGAATTAAGTGAAATGGTTCTAAAAAAAATAAAAAAAATTATTAAATATTAACAAAATTTCAAAAAAAAAAAAAAAAAGTACATTTTTATTGTAGTAAATACTTATATGTATTCATATTTATATATATTTAATTTTTTTTAAAACTATTTTCTTTTTTTTTTTTTTTTATAGTAGGTTATTATAATACTTTTTTTAATATTTTTTTTTTTTGAAAACACATTTTGTTTAAAATAAATATTTCATTATAAGTATTTACAAAAACATATTATATAAATTTTATTTTTATTTTTTATTAATATTTTATTCCTCCCATAAAAGTTCTAGCATCTGGTACTTGACCATTAAAGGATGCTGAAGAAAAATCAAAATTTGGATACTCTTGTTGAAATCTTTCTAAAAGAATTTTTTTTTTTGTATTATCTTCATCAATAGCATTTAAATTTTTATGACCTTTAAAAACACTACTCCACACTTCTCCTTTTTTTGCTTTAGTTAGCAAAATGTGTAAATTGTTATCTTCAATAAACCAATAAGAACAATCTTCATCAATTATACTAAATAATTCATCATCTAAAAAGCTTTTCATCTTTTTTAAACCAATGCGTATCCTCTTACTTTTTATTTCTATGTTTAAATCATTTTTATTCACTATTTTAGAACTCATATTTATATATATATTAATTTCATCTATGCTTTGCTCCCATTCGTATATTAAAACTCCTAAAAAGGATAAAAAAATTCAACAAAATAAAATTTTTAAAAAGTAAAAAGATTTGTATTATTTATATAATTTTATTAAGAATCTGCTTAAATATAATTTTTTTTATATGTCCTCACCATTGTTTACATATTTGTGTCTTTTGTTGTATATTTCACCCATGTTTTAAGTTATATACGAGTTTTTGAAAATATGAAAAATAATTTAAAATATATATTTTTGTTTTATATATATAAATGGATATATTTTATAATAAACATTTAACTTCTGTTTTTTTCATGCTTTAAATAATTTTATTGATTTAAAATTTCTGCAAATTTTTTTTTTTTTCTTTTAATTATTAAGAAACGAAAATTATTTATATTAATATTAATTTCAAATTATAAAAATTAAATGAAAAGAAAAATAAAATAATTTTTTTAATGTTCATTTAAAAATTGAGGAATGGAATAGAATATTTTTCATTTATACATATGCATTTTATAAAATTTAAGATATAAAATACATAAATCTTCAAAGAAATAAATATAATTTTGTACTTTTTTTTAATTTATTTTATTTTATTTTATTTTATTTTTTTTTTTTTTTTGTTATTTAATTGCCAATTTATTTGTTATTTTGAATTTTAAAATTATTATTTAAAGACAAATAAAATATATACATGGATAAAAAATATAAAATATATGTTAAAAAAAAATAATAATAATATTAAAAACAAAATAATATAAAGGGTAATAAAAATAAAAAAGTACATAATGGGGGGAGATGGTGGAAGTCTACCTCAACGAGTTGATTTAGTTAAAATGAAAAACAAAAAATTGAAAGAAAATACTGGCAGTTTAGGATACGAAAAAAATACACTTGTTACTATAAATCATAATAAATATAATAAAAAAGAATTAAAGGAGTATTATTTTAATCATTGTGCTATTTCACAAGTAAAAGAATTTTTTGATAAAAAATAAGATTATATACACATTTATACATACGCATATAAATCTTTATATCCTTATGTAAACTTTTTTTATTTAACATTTTTTTGCAGGAAAAACTTAAGGAGCCAATTTTTTGTTGTCGTCTTGGATATTTATATAACAAAGAGAATATTTTAAAGTTAATTTTGTTTAGGAAACAAAATAAAAAAAAAAGAAAAAAAGATATATATGAGAAATTTTCTCATATTGATTCTCTGAAAGATGTAATTAGTTGTAAAAATAAATTAAACGAAGAAAGTAAATTAATTTGTTTAATTTCAAATGAAATAATAAATTCTACATCTGGAGGTATTTGTATTTTTTCATGTGGTTGCACATTTTCAAAAAAAGTATTTAATCATGTAAATAACACAAAGGTAACAAAATAAATAAATTAAATAAAAACCATGATACGTTATTTTATTTTTTTTATAAGTACTTTAATATAATTCTTCACTTTTTTTCAATTTTTATATTTTTAGGAAAATTTATGCATGACTTGTAACAAAAAATATAAATTAAGTGATATTATTGAAATAGGAATAGATGATGAATCAATATTAGAAGAAAAAAAAAAAATTATAAAAAAAAGAAAATTAAATAAAAACAAAGAATTATCTAGAGAAAATAAAGAAATATCTAATGAAAGAAAAGAAAAAAAAAAAAAGATAGATAATATAATAAAATAATTTCACATGGATAAACACTTTATACAAAAATACAAGATAATATTAAAAAAAAAAAAAAAAAAAAGTAAATTTAAGAAAATAAAAATAAAAAAAATGAAAGAAGGATTACATATATAATATATTAAATACAATTAATATGTAAACTTAAGAAAACGCATACATATACATACACCTTTTTTTTTTTTTTTTTTTTTTTTTTTTTTATAAAAATAAAATAAAAATTATAGATTCTTTAATGCCTTTGTTAAGTTATTTTGTTTAAGTAATTAAAACAAATAATAAAAAATTACAGTCATATAAAAATAATTTATTAATTATATTTTTTTCGTTATGTTTTTTATATTTATCTTATTTAAAACTTTTTCTTTTTGTCTTATTTTAATATTAAAAATATCTTTTTAGTTTTAAGAATATATATATATAATTTTTCTATTTTTAACATAAAAAAAATATTAAAAAATTTTTTAATGTAACATTTGTAAATTAAAAATGAAATAAAACGAAAAACGAATTTTTGGCAAATATTTCTGATTCATAAAAAAAAAAAAAAAAAAAAAAAAAATATAATAATATAAATTGTAAAAGAATATTCCCAAAATAGTTATTTTTTTCATATTTTCCTTTTTTTAAAATTTATAAATAAAAAATGTGTTTTAATTATTAAAGGTTTATTTCATGTTAGTTTTAAAACCTTTTTACATTTATATAATATAATTTATAAATAACATCATGAATATTTATTTATTTTCCTAAATGAAAAAGAAAAAAAAAAAATGAAAATTTTCAGTGAAAGTGATTATAGCGATATTGCAAATGATATAATAACAAATTATGAAGAAAATAAAAAAGAAAATGCAAGAAAACTAAAAAAGAATAATTTACTTTCCAATAGCAATAATAATAGTGATATTAACGATTCATTATTTTTTAAGAAAGTAAGTAATTCAAATGAAAATAAATTATTAACAAATTCATATGATAATAATGAAAATAGTAGCTACAATTCGTTAGTTGATGATTTTTATGATCAAGCAATAAAAAAATTAAAAAAATCAAAACAAAATAGTACTAATTTCATTGAAGATGATAATAATAATATCTTGGTTAATAAACCACATATAATTAAAAAAGACGAAAATAAATTAATAATTAAGAAAAAAGTAATACAAAGAAACAATGAAATTTTAAAAAAGAATCTTAATAAGCCGTTAATGCCTTTGTTAAAAAAAAAGAATATCACAAAAAAAAAGGATATAAGAAATAAAAAAGTAGAACAGGTAAGTCATAAAAATGAGTGGAACAGTAATCAGAATGATTTAGATAAATACAGATTATCAAAAGAAGAATTAGAACAAAAAAAAATTAATTTAAAATCTAAGAACATAGACAAAGTTAAAATAGAATACCAGGAAAAGTTAAAGAATATGAGACAAAAACAATCATTAGTTACATCTAAGGGTAAAGAAAAAAATAATTGTGAAAAAGAAAGACATAATATTAGTAAATTAAGTGAAAAAGGAAAAGAGAAGAAAATTGATAAAAACTTAATGGAAAATATAAATTCACAAGAAATAGATGAGAATTTAGTAAATAAAAAAAAGAATATTAATGTAAATAATAAAAAAAATCATTTTAAATATAACATTAGAAAAAAATTTAATAACTCACAAAAGATAGATGAAGAAAATACAATTAATATTAATAATTTAAATAATGTTAACGTAAGTCTCGATTTATATAATAATGAAAATTGCGACATAGATAATTATAATAATTATGATGCAAATGGTGGAAAAAATAGTTCAGATGATATGAAAAATAGTAAAAAACATATATATGAGAAAATTAATAAAAAAAAAGGAAATAATATTAATAATAATAATATCAAATTAGAAAAAAATAAAATTAATCGTTATAACAAATCATATTCTTTAAATAAGTTAAAAGAAAGAAGTCAAAGTTTTTTAAATAATATTAGTGATAGTGATTTTTATGAAAATAGTATGTTAAATATATCAAATTATAAAAAAGAGGTTGATGATAGTTTTTATTTTCCGAAAAGTAAACAAATTTATGACATTAATGATACATCATCCTTAAAAAAAAAAAAATTAAATCATTTAGATGATATTAAAGAAAATTTTTATGATTTTGAAATGGACAATAATTTAAATATAACCACAGATTCTTCTAGTAATAAAACTACCATAGACAATTTTATGAAAGAATTAAAAAATCATAATGAAAATTTATGTATTGATATAAATCCAAATAATATAAAAATTGATATAGAAAATTATAAAATTGATAAAAAAGTATTTAAAGAAAAAGAATATTATCCTAATACAGAATTAAAGTTTTTAGATGAAAATATTTCTACAAAAAATTCTTGTTCAAGTAATTATGATTATGAATATATTTTTGATTCTGATTATTCTGAACAAATTAACAAAATGAATGATAATTTAATTAAAAATGATAATATGTTAAAATTGAAAAAAAGTAAAATCGAAACATTTAATCATATTAAAAAAATTATTGAGGAAATAAAAAATCTAGATTATGAAAATGTAAATACTTTAAGAAACGATAAAAATGAAATAAAAAAAAATGATGATTATATGGATATGGTAAAACAAAATGAAAATAACAAACTATATTGTTGTGATAGTGAGGATGAAAAAATAGAAAAAAAAAAAATTTACCATAATATTAAAAAAGAAAAAACAAAACAAAAAAATTACTACGAAAATACCGATGAAGAAATAAAAAAATTTGAAAAAAAAGATTATTATAAAGATATGGATGAAAAAATAGAAAAAAAAAAAGTCTATCCTTTAATGGAGTTGCTATTTAAAGAAGATGATGATAATGATTATTACATAAAAGATAAATCTAGTGAATATTATAAGGAAGAAGAAAATGAAATTTTTAATGAAAATAATGATTTATATAAAAAGGATAACATTTTTAACAGTTATAATTGTATTTTTAATGATAAACATAACCCATTACATGAGGATAAAAATTGTTCTGATATGATGAATTTTTCAGAAATAAAATGTTTTTCTAATAAAAGAAGAGATAGTAAAAATCAAAAATTAAATCATACTTCATCCTTTTCCTCTTTCAAAAATTCTTTTGACAGTAATTTCAATATACCTAAGGAGTATTCATATAATTTATCTGAAAAGAATAACATAAAAAATAATATAGAATATGAGAAAAACAGTTACATCTCCAACTCGATAGAATTAATGAATAAATTGGATTCAAATACTACTCATATAGAAAAGAATACCAGTAATGCATATAATAATAACAGAGATTATTTAAAAAAGAATAATAATGAAGATTTAATTTTTTCGAATAGTCAAAGTGAGAAAAATGATTGTTACAATTTTTTGAAAAACACTTTATTAAATAAAAATACTAAAATAAGTAGTAGAAATGATAAGGAAAAAAATGAGAATATAAAACAAAAAATAGATAGAGGAACTATTAATTTAATTAAAAATGAATTGAAATCAAATTGTTCTAAGTTAAATATGGATGATAGAAATACTCATTTGACTATACAAAGAAATGATAAAAAAATTTGTGAAACTCCTAATAAAAAAATAGAGAAGAAATATGATCAAGAAACAGCTTCTATTATATCAAATTCAAATTTACATAAGAAAGGAAAAAAGAATATTTTTTGTAAGAAAAATGTAAATGAAGTAAAAAACATAAAAAATTGTAGGGAAATTGAACATTTAAAGAGAAATAATAAAGAAACTCCACAGACAAAAAATTCAAAAGATATTACAGATATAACAAAAAATAATATAAATAAAAGAACAAGAATAATATTTAATAAAAATAAAGATAATGAAATAAGTAGTGAAAAAAAAGAAAAAGGAAAAGAGGATACATGTGCAAACAAGGAACATAGATTAATAAACCAAAAAATTTTGAATACGTCTCTCAATTTTGATGATACTCATAACTTGAGTGATGATGATAAATTTATTTTTGATACATATTTAAACGAAGAAAATACGAAAAAAAAGGAAGAAAATCTATCAGAAATAATAAATAGTCAAGTTAAAGCTTTTGAACGAATTTTTTTATAAAAAAAAAAAAAAAAAATAGAATAATTATATAAATAAATTTAAATTTTTATTTTTATCTTTTTCTTTTTTTTTGTTTTTGTTTTTAGTTTTTAATATTTTAACACTAAAAAATATCAAAAAAAAAAAACTTATGAATAAATATTTTTTTTTTTTTGTTTTCATTTTAATTTTTTAAAATTGTTAATATATGTTTTAAAGTGTATATCTTCTATATTTAAGAATATATATTGTGAATTTATCCTAATTTTTTTATTTTCTATAATTTTAATTTTTTTTTTAATATTTCAAAATCAATATTTGCATAATGAACAAAATTTGAAAAATAAAGGCCGCAGGATTCATTTATTATAGAAGGAGGTAAAATAAAAAGTTTATGAGTATTTTTTAAAATCCTTGTAAAGAAATTTTGAATTTTCTCAAATATAACTAATTTCGGCATATTTATCCAAAAATAATTGGATAAATAGAAAAACATAGATAATGGCCCCAGAAAAAAATTATTTTTTAATATGGTTAATAATTTAATTTCTACATATTTTAAGTTTAATTCATTTTCATCTATTTGATTATTATCTAATGGTTTTAATTCAGCTGATGGATTATATTGATTAATTTGATTAAGAATTTTTAAATCATAAAAAGAATCATTAGCTATATGACACATAGTTTCTTTTATTAAAATTTTACTTACGTTACCGATCACATTAATATCACCTGATGAACAATCATATTTTGTATAATACCCAGTAATAGATTCATCTAAATTTCCAGTTGCTAATGTTATTAAAAATTCATTATGCATATTATATTTGAAATATCTTTTATGACATATTAATGTACTAAAGAAATATGTTAATAACATTCTAGATCTCGATTGAATATTTTGCAAACATAAATCCTGATAATTACTACCACCTTCACTTTTATATTTCATATTTTCCTTTAAAAAATCTTCACCAACATTTTTAAAAAATTCATAAATATGATCTATACTATAAACAGTGTGATATGAATTAAGAGACTTACTTAATGATTCAGAATATAATTTTGTGTTTTCACTACTATTATTTGAAGGTAAGGATATTGTATTAAGTATTTTATTACATATATCTTTTCTACATGGTTTATCAATTAATAAATGTTTAATTTTTTTTAAAAAAAGCTCGTCAACTAAATCTAAATGTTCATTGTTACTCAAATATTTTTTTTCATTTAAATTAATTTCTATCATTATTGATAAAATATAAACCATACAAGCAACAAAGGATGAATCAATTCCTCCTGATATGGCAAGCATAAACCCTTTGGCTTTTGTTAAATGTAATATGTGCCATAAAAACATAGCACTATTAAAACTTAGTTCTTCGTAAATATTATGCAAAGAATATTTACCTGAATTGAATTCATAAAAATACTCATTTGAGTTATGATAATTACTAAAAAGTTGTAAAATATTGTTATTTTTCTGGGCATATAATATCCAATTGTAATTTGATGGAAGATTACGTAATAAAGTTTCATAAGATGTTTTTATTGATATATTTAAGTCCTCATTGAAAGAAAAAATGCATTCATTAGTATTTACTTCATTATTTTCTTTCTCATCTTCTTTAATTTTTAAAATAGAATACTTATTACCTATTAAATCATGCAGTATTTCTATATTTTTATTTTTTTTATCGAAAGATACATTAACAGATGCTACTTGTATTTCTGAAAAGGAAAATCGAGCATTTTTTGTCAGCACTTTTTTGTTTCGACTAATAAATGAAAAACCATCATACTTATAAAAGTTATTATCACATCCACTGTTGTTACTAAAACATAAAGTAATATTAGGATATTTCTCTGTTAAATTCATTAATTCTATAAAATATCTTTTAAATAAGTATAATTCATTAGATATATACCCATTAACTAATAATATATCAACACAATCAAGATTTATGTCGTTATTTACATTTAATTTTATATTATTCCTTTGTAATAATAATCTTCTCTTTTCTAACGTTTCACTATTTCCCTTATTCAATATAAAGTTTTCATCATCAAATATTGAATTATTTTGAATTTTAATTAAATCATCTAAAAAAATATGCGCAATTATTAGAGAATTTATCTGCATTACTGCATTCCCAAAATATGTCTCCTTTTGTTTCGTTATATTTTGAATACATTCTGGTAAAATAAATTTTTCAAGATTATTATAAAAAATTTTAATATCAGAATTTTTAAATTTTATTTCTTCTATATCTTTTCTTTCTTTAACATTAAATTTTCCTTCTTCATGCAAACTTTTCGAATATGATGCATAATAAGCTTTACCTTCATAATGGTTTATGTTTTCTTTAGGTGATATTAAAATAATTTCATTATTGTATACAGCTATTTCACAGTTGTATAATTGTTTTTTAAAATACACAGGCATACTTATAAAGCATAAAATATCCTCTGTTAAATACTTATTTTTATATTTTACATTTAATAATTCACTCAAATAAAACCAACAGTTTTCATTAATATCTTCAATTTCCTTAAAGCTATCTTTACAATTAACACCACACAATTCTAGTTCCCCACCAATTCTTATATTACAATTTAATTCTTTACATTTTTTTATACTTTCAATAATTTTTAATTTATTACCTTCATAATCTAAAGGAATTGAAGAAATTGAACAACAACTTAAACCAAAATTTTTTATCATATTTTATTAAAAATGATACTTTTTTTTATTGACAATGAAGAGTGGGATATATTTATACGGATTTTCAAAATGTTTAATGAATTATGTAATTTTAATTAATATAAATATTTTTATTAAAAATTGTCTTAATGTTTACTTAAATATATAAATAAATATTTATAAATAGAATTAAAAACATTCTTAAAAACCTATGTAATAATATCTAAAATTAAAATGTTTTTTTTCATAAATTAAAAAATACTAGGATTTTTTCTTTTAAAAGAAAAAAATAAAAACTGATTAAAAAATTATCATAATTATATTTATTGCATGTCAAGAACTTTTTTTTTAAATGAATTAAAAAAAAAAAAATAAAATAAAGCATAACAAAATATGAAAATAATAGTAATTATAAGTAAAATAAAATTAAGATAATAAGATTATAACATAAAAATGATCTTAGTTCAAAACATATTCAGGATGTAAAATCAATATAAATTTATAACAAAATAAAGAACAATAGTCATGCAATTTTTTTTTCTTTTATTTCCAATTGTATATTTGGATCTGTATTCAAAAATGTCAAGTAAATAAAATAAGGTAATACATATTTAACAAATAATAATTTCCTAGATTTCATTATTAACCTGAAATATATAACGATAAAAAAAAAAAAAAAAAAAAAAAAATTAATAATAAAAATAAATTATAAATAATATATATACGCATATATTATTATGTACTTGACATTTTGAAACTTGCAATTTATCTATGTATTATTAAGACACTTTTTAAAAATATTAAATAAAAGAATCTTTTATTTATTAACTTTTTAACATCAAATATAGAAGATATAATTCTACATGTTTATATAAATAAATATTATTTTATATATATATATATATATATATATTTTTTTTTTTTTTTTTTTTTTTTGATTACTTTGAATAATAGCTTGTTGATATTGTTACAGCTATAAGAAGAACAAAATTGGTAATGTACATTAATTTAATAGAAAATTCTAAAGGATTGAAGAAATAATAAAACGTTCCTATATAGCAAAAGCAGCTGAAATAAATAAGTGCACATGTTTTATGTTCATTAAAATTCGTAATAAAAGGTATTAAAAAAATACTTGTTGTTAACTTTCCGACTAAAAATGTGTCAAACATATTGTAGTAATTTAATACAGTGTATAATCCATCTAAGTTATATATTCTACTATTTAAAGAATAAGCAATATCTATCATTCCAAAAAATATATTAATCGAACAATTCAAAATAGCAAAAATATTTAATATTTTAATATTTTTATAATTTTTTATTATCATTGAAGGAAGAACAAATAAAATGTTTAAAATAAGTTGCATCGGTATTCTTATATGAGTAAAAAGAGTGAAAAAATTTTCATCAATAGAGGTATTTAAGGAGGAGTTTCTTTTTAATGGTTTACCTGCGAAAAAAGGATTAGGCGACTTAAATATTTCGCTGTTATTCATTTTGAGCAGGAAATATGTAATGCGCATTTGTAAATAAATTAAGAGAGCATTTAAAATATATAATAAAATTTTTAAAATATATGTGCTTTTATAATAATTAAATAAAATATTTTTTACCCAATAATTATACCATTTCATAAAATTTTTATATTTTAATATATATTCTAATTCATTATCTTGCATGATATTTTTCCATTGAGATGTGTATAAAACTTCATTATACTTTTTCCAATAGATATTTTTTTTCTCAATTTTTTTATAGTGTGATTTCATTTTTTCAAAAATTTTGCTTATAGTATTTATAGATATAGAAAACCTTTTCAAATTATAACAAAATTTGTGCTTTTCTTTATTACAAGGCTTACTTTTATAATTTGACGAAATAACATCATAGAACTCTCTAAAATTTTTATTTAAAATCACATTAGACTCTGTTTTATTTTTCATTGATAATTTAGGTATAATGTAACAATTACATTTTTTCTTAAAATTTTCATTTGATCTTCTTTTGCATTTATTGAAGTAGCACGTATCACTACCTTCTACTAATTCTTTTGGAAATTTTTCATAAGTATCATCATTTTCTTTTTTATTAAATTCTTTTTCTGACCTTTTTTTGTTGTTTTTTTTGTATATTTTATCATTAGGAAATTGGATATTATTTTTTTTTCCTTTATATTCACCTTGATCGATACTTGAAAGACTATTAATGTTTTCTTTTTTATCTAAATAATGATTGTTTTTGTTTTTGCATAAGAAGCAGTAGCACATAATTTGTTTATCTTCGTTTTTTGTATAATTTCTGTCTGTTTTGTTTATAAAAATTTTACTTTTTTTCATTATAATTTCTTTCATTTTTTTATCTTTTTTATTTTTTATTTTTTCACTAATATTGTCAGTTGATGGAGATGTATTGCATTTGCTAGTTGCATTTTCACTTTCTACTCTATCATTTGTATTAACAGAGTCATTTAAAAAATCATCTACATAAAACATTTCGTTATTAGATAAATTATTATCACTTGATTCTTGTAAACTTAGTTTGTTTTTTATATGCCCTGATTTATTTACATGAAATTTAGGATTATTTTTTAGAAAATTGTTATTCACATTATTGTGTGAATGGAAGTGATAAAACTGATTACTATGGTTTTTTAAATTGGAATCTGAAGTCTCACTTATACTTACACTTTTTTTTAAATTAACGGAGTTAATTAAATAAAATACCCTTGTATTATTTAGAGATTCTTGTATCATATCTTCATAGCTCTTTTCATTATGTTCATCTAATGAATATGAATTTAAAGTATAGTTAGATATTCTCCTTTTTTCACCTCTCACCATTAGTTTGGAGTTCAGAACATCAAATATTTTTTCACTTGAAGCGTTAGTATTATGACTGAAGTAGTTTTTATTATTACTATATTTTGGTATAATGGATTTTCTCTTTTTGCATTTATTACTTTTATAGCAATATTTGAAATTTTCACTTCTACTATTAGAAGTACCTTCATATATATTATTATTTTTTAAACTTTTTAATGAACTCAAATTCACAATTTCATGATTATCATCGTCAGTAATAAAAAGTGAATTATTATGTAGAAGCATATAAAATTTATAATAATTATTAATTTTTATAGATATATTATCACTTAAGTAAGTTGAAAGATTATTTAAATTATGTCTCTCTAACACATATATTGGTATTATTTTTGATCTTTTAATTTTATCATTTTTGTCAAAATAAATATAATTAATTTTATTTTTTAATTCTTCAGAAAGTAAAATATTCCTTCTCCTATTAAATCTTCCATGCCCACTACGTAGTAAAGAAAAATGTTTTTGAACAATTTCCTTTTTATATGTTTCCCCATAATCTTTATTGTTTAACTCTTCTAATTCCTTATTTACTATTTTGTTGTTAAACTTCTTGAAATTAGAATATTTAATAGTATTATATTTTTTAGGTTCATCCTTATATTTTTGGGAAGATATAAAATTATTATAAGATTCTCTATTTATATAACCATTTTTACCTTCATTGTTATCATAATTGTCCTTTATTGGATTATCAAACAAATTGGTATTTTTCGCTTTAATTTGAATATTTTTAATATATTTCCTTCCATTTATATCTTTATCATTGTTGTTATTACTTTCATTTATATCTTTGTTTGAACCAGTGAAGCTACTTTTCATATCTTTATTATTTGAATTTAAAAAATTTTTCTCGTTGTGCTCACTTATTTTTTTTTTTTGTCTAAATTTTTTGTTTGAAGAAACACTTTCATTTTGTAAAGCGCTTTCTAGATGTAAATGAAATGTGTTTATACTAGAACAGTTAACATCACTAATATCAAATGGTATTTCATATTGAGCATTAATTAAATCATTGTCGTCATCAGCTAAACTTCCTCTACTTTTATTAATTATTTTAATTTTTTTAATTCCATTACTTACTTCATTTTCAAATAAGTAATTTCCTAAAAACAAAAATTATATATATAATTAATGTATACATATATAAATGTAAAACAATTTTTTTTTTTGTGAAATTATTGAAAATGTTATTTGTACTATATTGTTTTTTTGAACAAAAAAAAAATTTATTTATATAAATGTATATATTAATTTAAAAAAAATGTTAATTCTACCATAAGGAAAACACAAATTTATACATTTGTAGATAGATGGTAATAGAATTTTTGTAAAAAAAATATATATATAATAACATAAAAAATTTAAATATATATATATATATAAAAAAATGAGGGATAAATTTTTATATAAAGAAAATAAAACTAATTTTACCTAATATGTCTACACTAATATTATTTTGTTCATGAAAAATTAAATTATTTCTAATTAAAATAGCTTTTTTTTCTAATTCATGAAAATAAGGTTCAATGTTATCAAAAGCCCTTAATGGTTTTTCTTTAATGTAAGAAATTTGCTTGGCAAAAATATATAATGCTACATGGACTATTATAGATATTAAAATATGAACTCCTAGAAGGAGACTAAAACAAAAAATTATATTTGAAGTAGGTAAGCTATAATGAAAACGTATAGATCCAGTAACTAATGTAATTAAACAAATAATTAACAGCCTTCTTATTTTTATTGAAGTTGATAAACTTAAAACTTGTGTAAAGTAAATTAATTTTGTCCATGATAAGGATGAGGTAAATAAAAGTGCAGATGATAAAGGTAACAAAACACTATATATAATAAATAAATAATGAACACATGCTATTTGTTTTTCTACAACACTTTTAGAAAGCACTTCTGCTATTTTTAAGATACCCAATTGCACGACAAAAAAAATGCACCATATTATTTGGGAAAATCTTTCCTTAGCTTGTATTAATTCAAATGTATTTATCCCGTCCAATAAAAAAAAAAAAATTTCCGTAAATATCAAAAAAATCAGTGAATAAATAGAATTTAACAAAAATAAATTCATATAGGTTTTTGATTTATTCTGCACTTTTTTCATTTTTTAAAAATATTAACTAATAATTATTAAAAAATAATGCAATAAACAAAAAATAAAAATGTAGTGTAAGAAAATATATTTTTTGTCATATATTTATAATTTTATAATGATGTGTACTAGAGGGGCAGTATGCTTGACAAGTACACTAGATTTATGAAATACAAAAGCATAAAATAAAAATAATGCATTAGAAAAAAATATATAAGAAAATAAATATATCCATAGGAGTCTATAAAAAAAATAAACTTAATGTTAAATTAAAATTTCATTTAAAAAAATAAAATTTGATTCATATATCACTTTAGGATACTAAAAAAAAATAAATAAAAAGATAAGTTGTTAGAACAATACTGCATAACACAATATGAATATCATTAAGTATTTAATCCAACTTTTTAGGTTAAATGATTACAAAAAAAGTAACAATTATTTTTATATTATATGTAAATTCAATAAAAAGAGATTAAAAAACGTATTTAATTTTTCCACTTTAAAAATTTCCTTTGTTTATAGAACAAAACAAATAAAATAAAAAAGCTATTTTAAAGAAAATATTTACTTTTAAAAAATGAGAGTAAATTGAATAATTCAAATAATATAAATAATTTTTGTATTTTCTTTTAATTATAGAGAACTTAATTTTTGTAAATTTAAGTTGTAAGTTTTTTTTTTTTTTTTCGTATCATTTCAAAATTTCATTATTAATGTTCATTTTGTTGCAATTAATAAAGCAATAACTTATATTTATTTTTTTTTTTTTTTAAAGTTTTTTAAAAGTAAGAATTTTATGCAACTTCACAGGAAATATATACGCATACATAACTTAAGAAGTTAAAAAGATGTGTAAAAAGAAAATTTTGAATATGCGAAAAAGAAAATTTATTTTTTAATGTTCATATTATTATTTCTCTAAACAAAAGTTACTAATTTTTTTCTGTTGCGTTTAAATTAATCGTTAGAATAAATCAACAAACAGCTACATGTTTTAAAAATAAAAAATTATGAACATACTATTAAAAGAAATATAAAATTTATGAATCGTACATAAATACTTTGATGTTGTAGCATAAATATAATGGCTTAAGATTATAAAAAAATTCAACATTTAAAATATATTCTTAACTTGAAAAAAAAAAAAAGTAATATTTTACAAGTCTTTCAGACTATTGTTTCTTTATATTTTTTTAAAAGACATTTATTGATACGTTTTTGAGATGGGAAAAATTTAGCTATAAAAAATTACATTTATATATTTTTTTTAGTAAACTTCTACCAACGGTAAATATTATCAGTGTTCATAAAAATTTAAATTCAAATTTAAAAAAAAATTTTCATATAAAATGGGGTTTATGTGATTCCTTGTTTTAATTAGTTTTTTCTAAATTATGAATATTTAAAAATATTGTAAATATAAAACATTTTTTTTGAAGAATAAAACTTAAAGAAATATTATATAAAATAAATATTATTTAAAACTGGTGCATAACTACTTTCATTTTAAAAAAATAAAAAAACAACAATCATACTTTTTAATTAAAACATATACAAACGCATATTATCTTTTAACTAATATATTAAATGTTTGTATTAAGAACCCATGGAAAAATAACTTTATTGGAAAATAATGAAATAGCTAATTTACTTTACAGAAGTTAATCAATAGAAAAATTTATTTTTTGTAAAATACATATAAATATTGATATTTATGTCCATCCTTTAAAATATAGGCAAAAAAAAAAAAAAAAAAAAAAAAAAAAAAGGAATTTTTAGGTTATTTATATTAGAAGAATTAGCCACGCGCGTATAATTTTTGTATTTTTAAAAATAAAAAAAAAAAAAATTAAAAAATAAAAAAAAATGTTAAAATATATATAAAAAAATTTTTTTTTTAAATATTGTATATATATTTTATATAAAGATTACATTAATATTTAACATTTAAAAATATTAATTTCATATTTTAATATTATACTTAAGCATAATAGTATTATAAATAATGAAAAATGAAAAGTTAAAAATATGTCGACAGAAAAAGTGAAAGAAATAATCGTATAAAATAATACAAATGACTTTTTTTTTATTATAGACTTTTTTTTTTTTTTTTTTTTGAATAAATTTTCTATATATTTTTATGTATATAATTTTAATGGATTTAATTTTGATACGGAGATAAAAAAAACTCTGTGTTTTTTAGTATTTTTATAATTTTTATAAAGTTTCCAAGGATTAAATGATATTTTTATAGAACATATTTATTAAAAAGAAAAAAATAATAAAAAAATATTATAGATAATATTTCTTAATAAAATAATTATAAAATGTATATGCTTTATATATATGTATTTTTATATTAAGTATATAATATGCAATATGAAATAAAAGTAAAAAAAATATAAAATGTTAATTTTGTAAATATATAAATAATGTTAACATTATGTATTAAATAAAAATATATATATTAATAATACTTAAAGTATTATTTTTTATGTACATTTACAAAATAAATGAACAAAGAAATATTTAAGTAAATAAAATATCATAAATATAAATATATATATATATATATATATATATATATATATATATATATAATGAAATAAATTTATGGATAGAAAATTTAAAAGATAACTTTATATAATTCAGATGTAAGTTGAATATATAAAAATATAATTTAATCATGTATATACAAAGATTTTTATATGGGAAAACATTATTCATAAAATTATAATAAAAGAACACATGCACTATTGGAAGATTTCAAACAAATATTCAGTAATTTCATAAATTAGAAGTTAACGCCTTGAATATGTTTCAGCTAAATTTTTAATCTAGATATTTATTTTAAAAATTTATAAATAAGTATATGTGAATTAAAGAGCTGATTGAATATAGAATACAAAAATATAGTTCATATAAGGTATATAAAACATAGAAAACATATACGTATATATATATTTATATATTAGTAAATTATAGGGGTTTTAAAAAAATATGATATATATATGAGGGATATCAATATTTTTTTATCAAATAAAAATATAAGTATTTATTTTTGTATATAATAAGAATAGATTATAGGAAATTAATATTTTTTAAATATTATTTTTAATTATTAGTATAGAAACTACTGTTTATTTCTTATGTTATCATCATTTTAATAATGCATAAAAAAGATATTGAAGTTACTGAGAATAATATTATGATAAATGAAAAGAAAAAAAAAAAAAAAGAAGATGTTCTTTTGGAATTTCTCAGAGAAAATAATGTAAAAGCGTCTCAACTTTTAAATAGTATATGGATTTATTATTATTATCATAATATAAAAACAATAACAAAAAAAATAAAAGAGTTACAAAATGAAAATAATAATAAGAATGTTTTAAAGAAATATTTATTAACATTAAGTATAAATATTGATGATGCTTTTGATTATTTTAAAGATATTTTAATACATATAAAAAAAGCATACGATGAAAAAAAATATGAATGCATTTTATATATGAGTAAAATAATAAATAAGCAAAGTAAATATTCTATTGATGCAAAATTAAGTAATGAAAATGAATGTGAACAAAGTTTAAAAGATTATACTATTGAATATGACAATTATGTAAATAATGTTATTGATAGATTTTATTCAGAGAAAAATGAAAAAAATATTGAAAATAAAGGAAATACAACTTTATATAATAATTTAGAAATTGCTAGAATATGTCTTAGTAACACATTCAAAATTTTTGGAGATTTGTTTAGATATAAGTCGCACTTTTTTAAAGAAAACAAAAAAAAAAATGAAATAAAATCATGTATAAATTATTACAAATCTTTAAATTATTACAAATATAATGGTCATTTATTTAATCAGTTATCATTATTATATATAAATTGTAATCCTATAAAATGTTTATTTTTCTATTTTTTATCATTAATAGCATATAATCCAGCACCCAATAGAGATGCTGTGGTTATGTTTATGGAAAACATATTAAATGAAAGGAAAAAAATGGGTAAATTATTAGAGGGTCTAAAGAGCAATAATAAAGAGAATAGTAATAATAATAATAATATTTCGAATAAATCAGGTAGAAATAATTATCATATTAAAAATAAAGATGATAATTTTTTATCTTTTAAAGATTGTAAAAACAAGATAAAAAATATTTACCTTAAAGAAGAAAAATTAGAACATATGAAGTCTCATATATTAAAAGATAATTTAGAAGAAAAATTAGCTTCAAAAAATGATTATAGAAATAATGTTGAAAAAGATTTAGCAGAAAAAGAATTAGGGGAAACTATTATAAATTTTTATATAAGCTATTTTAAAATTATTAAGTTATTATTTTCAAAAATTGATATGAATAAATTTGAAAAAAAAAAAAATAAATTTATATATTATACAAATAAATATATAAAAATTCAATATTACAATAAAAAAGAAGATAAATTAATGTTGAAAAATTTAATTTTGATTATTTTTACTTTACTAAGCATTGTAATTTATATAATCATTAGTCAACATGAAAATGAAAGAAATAAAAATGGCTTTTTTTTTTACGGTGATATAAATATAAATAAATATATATATAAAAATGAACAAATTTACTTTTCTTTTCTATTAATTCATGAAATTTTATTATCTTGCAAATATTTTTATCTTAATTTTTATTCACAATATCTATCCGTATTTATATATATGTTGTACTGGATAAACAATGAGAAAAATCTTAAAAATTTAAATTTGAATAAGCTAAATGAAGAAGATGATAGAGAAAAGAATTCTCTTATCAAACAGTATCATGAGGATTATAAAAAAAAGACAATTTATGTTTGTACAAATAATTTAAAAGATAGTAGAAGAAAGAAGGGTAGTAGTGGATTTGGAGATGATTTAAAAAAAGAAGATACAAAAAAATCCGGAGAATATAGTGAATCAAAGTTTTTATATAACGATATTATAAAAAGCATCAAGGATTTGATTTATAGTTTAAAAATAAAAAAGGATATTAAAATGGAAAATTCATTACTACATTATAAATTAAAAGAAGATTTTTATATTTATCCATTTCTAAATTCTTTACGATTTAAAAAGTTCAATATGGAAGATGAAGTAAATGAAAATATTGACTTTGAAAAAAAATCTAATATAAATCAAATGAGTGCTTGTGATGATTCTAATGAAGACGATATTGTAGTTTTAAAAAAACCATTATTTGTAAAATCAGACGCTATTAATGGGGAAATTATAAATGAAAAGAATGATTCAAATAAAAAGTTAAATTGTTTTAATGATTTATATGAAAAATCTATTATAAACAGTAATCACTTTTCTACACCTGATAATGATTTTAACAAAAATGCTACTAAGCATATTGATATAAATAATACATTAGAATATAATATTTTTAAAGATAACAAAACATTTCATTCGAATATATTTGATTCTAATGAAGAATGTATACAAATAGAGAATTATATTATAGCAACAAAAAATATTAATAATGATGAAGAAATAGAAGAAAATGTAAGGATAATCCGATTCCATTCATTAATACAGAATAGAGATAATTGTGCTAATGAAACTTCTTTTTTTGAGGGTTTATGTAAAAAATATTTGAAATCAAACATGGAAAAAAATGTGGTAAAAAATGATAATACAAAATATGAGGATCTAAACTATTTAAACTTTACTAAAAGATTATATGATGATTATTCCTGTGTTCTTAGTACTTCAAATGATATATTTGAAAATAATTTTGCAGTTTATAATAACAACAATGTGAATTTGAATTCATTAAAATTGGTTAATAGTGATTATACTAACAAAAATGCTGAGGATATTTCATATTCACTTTTAAATGAGAAAACTAACAAAAATCAAACTAACAGTACTTTCAATATAAGTATTGAAAATATAGATGCTACTTCTAACAACATAAATAATAATAAAATAGATACCAATAACAATAGTATTACTAATGATAATAATAATTTTGAAATCAGAGATATAGAGAATAATAATATTGATAGATATATTTTTAACAATAATTACAAAGGTAAATTAAACCTAAATAAGGAAAATTCTAAAAGTCATGTATATGATAATATCAAAATGAAAAATAATGAAATAGAATTAAATAATGAAAATATCAATAATTATGTAAATAAAAATGTTAACATAAAAAATGAAAGTGTTCACGGAATTAACAAAATTAATAATAATATTTGTAATTTAGAAAATATAAAACATTTTACTGTGAATAATATAAAGGATAATATGAATACTAGAAAAAATAATTTTATCTATGATTATAGTGACAGCAACCATAGCAAAAAAGGGAAAACATATGAATTAAATACTCTCAATGATAAATTATATCTTAAATTCAATAAAAATCATATGTATGTTAATAATAATTTAGACACAAATAATAAAAAACAAGAAAATAGTTTGGAGGCTATCAGTAATATTTCAAAGATTCACAGAATGTATAATGATTCAAATATATTAAGTTACGATGATAATAATAGTTATAATAACTGCAATAATTATAACAATATCAGTAATATTAATAACAATAATAGTAATAATAATAATAGTAGTAATAATAATAATAATAGTGGTAATAACAATAATAGTATTAATAATAATAATAGTAATAATAATAATAATAGTAATAATAATAATAATGATAATAATAATAACATTGGTAATAATAATAATAATAGTAGTAGTACTACTACTACTAATAATAATAAAAGTGGTAAAAATAATAATGGTATTGTTAATACTTTTCAAAATGATGAAAATTTTCAGAATAATGATATAGGAGCATATAAAAAAAATTATAAAATTCAATCAAGTTTTATGCTAAATAAATGGAATAGTTTTAATTATGATTTATTCGAAGATTCTGAAAATATTACAAACAATAATAATTATATACATAATATAGATAATAATAAAAATAATACAGATGAAAAATTGGATCATTATAATGAATTACTTAAAAAATTTTCCAAAAATAATACTTTTGATGAAAATTCAAATGCAGATGAAGTTAATACAACAAGGAGTCAGACAGTAGAAAATATTAACAATAATAATAATAATAATAATAATAATTTTTTAATTAATTCAATGAAAAACACATATGCGAATGATAATTCTATATGTATAATAGAAACTAATAAGGAATCAAACACTAATTCATCCTTTAATTATATTAAAAAAAATGAAAATACTTATAATAATATAAATAATGAGGATGTCATTTCTCATAATAATAATATAAATAAATATATACAAAAACCAAAACATTATTTAAATGATTCATTAAAAAAAATGATTATATTAGATGGGAAAAACATAGGAACAAGATATAAAGATAATTATATAAAATATTTTGATATTTTTCGTATTAAATTTGCTTTGGATTATTATAAGGATAAAGAATATATTGTAAAAGTTATTATGCCTCAAGAATATTTAACTTATGAGAAAAAAATATTTGACCACAATAAATATAATAGTAATAACAATCATTCTAACAACTCTAAAAATAATAATATATACAGTTATGGAAGTAATGAATTAAGTTTAACTAAAAATGATTTATTATTTTTTCAACATCTCAATATTTTAGGTTGCTTAATTATTCAACCATTAGAAAATTATTATAATTTTTGTATAGATTATATACAAAAATTTAATTCCTGTTTTGTAACAAACATTGTTTTTTCTAATTCAAATGTTAAATTATGTGAAAATCAACAAATATATAAAAATATTTCTTCTCATATTATATCTTATACTTTTTTAGCGGACGAATTTTTACCAAACCCAAATTTTAAATGGCCAATTCACAGTAATAAATAAATACCATTATCAATAATAATATACTATTATATATGTAATATTTAATGAAAGTATAAAAGTTTTATTGAATTCAAATTTTTTTCTAATTTACGTAATCACGTGTAAAATTTTTCTCATTTCTCCAGAAAATAATATTTTACCCAAAAATATTTTATTAGAATTAAAAAAAAATTGACTCAGAATATATCATATTAATTTTAGGGAGGAATTAAAAAATTTGCTTTTTTTTTTTTTTTTATCTTTGAATTAAAACATGATGATATTCCAGGCAGAATTAATATTTTCTTTAATTGTGTGGGTGATAAAAAAAAAAAAAAAAAAAAAATGAATTTAATAGACATGTAGTGATAATGAATATATATATATATATATATTTATATGTAAAGAGAGAGATAGAAAAAGAAAAAGAGTTGTTAAAATTCTTTTATATATATGTATAACTTTTTTAAGATTAAAAGAGATAACTCAAAGTGTCTTATAGATGATTGAAAGTAATTAAAAGAATGAACATTTGATACAACATTTAAAAAATATGTATTTAAATTGATACTATTCATTTTTTTTAAAAATATTTTAAAACCCCTTAACGGCATATAACAAAACTTTAATTTTTATTTTCAAAAAGTCATATATCCTTAGAAAATTAAAAATTTGGTAGAAACAAAAAAAAAAAAAAAAAAAAAAAAAAAAAAAAAAAAAAAAAAAAAAAAAATTTCCATGGTAAATAGATTCTACAGAATATATTTTATTTAAAAAAAAAATATTATAATTTTTTCTAAACATCAGTTAATTATAATAAGAAATGTATATATAAAGTTAATTTCTTATTATAATAAATAAAATTTTTCATTTTTTTTTTTTTTAATTTTTACTTTTAGTGAATTACTTTTATTCGTTTACGTAAGTGGAGTTTCAAAAATATATAAAAGAAAAAAAAAAAAAAAAAATGAATTATTATATTTTTATCATTTATGTAAAAGATGTTTAAATGCTTTATGTATCAATGAAAGAACTTTTGAAAATAATATTATTTGCAATTTTCAATTTTTTTTTTTCTTTTTTCATCAAAATTAAACTTTATTTTAAAGGTTTTTATTAAAACATTATAATATAAAAAAAGAGAAAAATTATAATTTTTCACTAAAAAGAAAAAAAACTTGAAATATATACTCTTCTTATAAATTATATAAACATTCAAGTTTAGAAAGTTCTGTAAACTACAAAAAAATTTCTATATTTTCATTTGTATTATTAGAAAAAGTATTAATAAATCAATTTTCTTGATTTGCTACAAAAATACTTAAAAAAAGAAAAAAGTAAAAATATAATTAAAATAAAAAGGAAAAATTCTTACAAAAGAAATAATAATACAATTTTACGTTTTACTATATATAGACTTTGAAATTAGTATCAGTGCTTTATTAAATATGAACGATATTTTTAAAAGCATATGTGAATCATTTTTGTAGATATAATATTAAAAAACTAAAAATATATTTTTATTTTATTTTTTTTTTTTTTTTTTCATTTATATATAAAGATTTATAAAGTTATTTCTTTTGCCTAATATCAAAATTTTCAAATATAAAAATGAGAAAAAAATTTATGAATTTATAAATTATGAAATTTATTAATTTATAAATTATCAGCATGCTGTTTTGTGAAATTCATAAAAAATAAAAGTTATATGTTTAAAAAGTAGGCTAAAGATAACAGTTCTGAAAAATTATAATTTTGCATATGAGTTTTAATAATTTGTTTTATTAAATGAATTGATCTTTTTTTTCGTTAACTGAGGTTAGAAGAAAAGAAGAATATGGTGCTTTAATTATTAAAATATTTTTTTAATAAAGAAAATATACTTGGAGATACATTTATAGGAAGTATAAGAGTTTTTATATAAACAATTATTCATGTAAATTTGTATATATTTGAGGTAAATTTTAGATTCCACTTTTATTTTATATAAAGAATTAAAAAAAAAAGAGAAAAAATTCATAATAAAAAATAAAGTGCTCTATAGTTGCATTTATTTTATTTTATTTTTTTTTTATACTAAAGAAAATTGACTTTTGTAAAATGATTTAACATTATTATATGTGATAAATTAATATAAACTATTCCTAATATAGCTTATATTTTATATTTTATTTTTTATAATTTTATATAATTTACATGTAAAAAAAAAAAAAAAAATATGTAAATTTATTTTTAAATTTTATTTCTATTAAATAGAAAATTTACTTTTTTTTTTTTAATTTTCTTTAAAAAAGTATTTAGGTATTATAATAATAAATGAAACAAAATATTTATTAGAAGGTTAATATATTAAAGTTTTCTTGCATCTAATTAGCAAGAAATAGTTTTATATGTATATTTTGTCATGCTTTACTAATAAAAATAAAGAAAAAAAAGAAAGGATTACATAAATAATTAAATTATGATGAATTTTATACCTAAAGCAGCAATTCCGTATGTTGTATTATTTGGTGCCTTCTTATACAATCTTAATATTGGTTAAAAAAAAATTATATTATAAAATAAGAAAATATAGATTTTTATAGAAAAAATATTCAGTTATTTTACAAAATTTACTTATTAAATGAAGTTTTTTTTTTTTTTTTTTTTTTTATATACTCTTTCTTTTTTTTACATATGTATGCATTTTTTTTCTTTTATCTATATAAATTTTAAAATATATATGATCTTATTCTATAATTTTAAGTAGTGCATAATTTTTTATTATTGATTATTTTTTGTTTAAAGTTTAGTAGTTTATCTTTTATTTAAGAAATTATTGTAAATTAAAAGCAAAATATATATTTTTTATTATATTTTTTAGATATTTATAATTATAACAATAATAATAATAAAAATAATAATAATAACAATAATAATAATAATAATAATAATAAAATAAATAATAATAATAATATTAATAATAATAATAAAAATAATAATAATAATAAAATAAATAATAATAATAATAATAATTATATATATTTATTCATACATTGTAAATTATATTTATAAAAATTTATTTTTTTTTTTTTTTTTTTTTTTTTTTTATTTATTATAGGAATAGTAAATTCTTATGGAAACTTAAATATATATTTAACTTCTTATTTAAGATATAAAAATAGTAATGTAACATATAGAGATGTGTCATTTATATACGAATTAAGTATAATAACTTTAGGAGTATCGATGTTAATAGGAAACATCGTTCATAAAATATTAGGATTAAGAACAACTATATTATTATGTAGTGTTAGTACATTCTTTGCATTTTATTTATCTTCAATCTATACTCATTCCTATTTTTTATTATGTCTGTTTATGGGAATATTATATGGATTAGGTTATGGTATATGTTTTACTATACCATTATCATGTGCTTATAAACATTTTAAAAATAATAGAGGTTTAATTAGTGGTATTGTAATATCTGCTATTTCATTATGCCCTTTTTTATACTGTCCTTTACAAACTCTTCTTATTAACAGAAAGAATGTTTTACCAACTATGGAAGAAGGAAGTGATTCGAAAGAATTATATTTTCATGATGAAGATGTTTTAAATAGAGTTCCTTATGTTCTTTTTATTCAATCTATTATGCTTTTATCGTTATGTAGTTTAGGTGGATTTTTAGCTACAATTGAAAATAAGGAAAATAATGAAAATTCAGAAAAAGTGCTACAAGACAAACAAACAAAGGGTCTTGATAATAATATAACAGATTTAGAAAAAAACAATGAAGCGCTATTATCAGTAGAAAATGAAAAGGATGATGAAAAAAATTTAAATAATGAAAAAAAAGAAAATAATGCACATGATAATGTAGATTACTGTAATAGTGGTGATTATAGTACTAATGTAGATAGTCGTTTAACTGAATCATTTATAAAAAAAAATAATACAGGAAATGAATTAGATATTAAGGAAAAACAATCATCTGATGGAAATAAAAATGATTCTCTTTGTCTTAATGAGGTGGGCAAAGAAAAACTGTCTAAAAATAAAACTGTTAACAAATTTTATAATAAAAAATGTATAGAAGATAAAAGTTTTATCATTTTATGGATTTCAGTGGTATTGTTTAATTCATATGTGAATTATATTATAATGTATTGGAAGATTATTGGAATAAATTATACATCTGTAGAAGATAAGATTATAACATTAAATGGAAGTTTTGCTAATAGTTTATCGAATATAGCAGGAAGATTGGTTTGGGGATATCTTTATGACAAATTTAGTCTAAGTTTTATTTTATTATTATTGGGTTCTTGCATATGTTCAAGTTGCTTTATCCTACCTTTTATATGCCACATCTATGTTTTATATTTGCTTTTTTGCGCTATTTTGTATTTTTGTGTAGGAGGTAGTTTAGTTACAATTCCAGTTATTACTCTGAAAAAATACGGAGAACAATATTTTTCTTTAAATATGTCTGTATTATATACTAGTAGGATAGCTAATACATTTTTATGTAGTTTACTTGTTGGTATTTTCTACAATTTATTAACATTAAAGTACTTAAGTGTTTCTTTTGGGCTAATTTCATTTCTTTCAACTATTTCTATATTTTTCCTGACTAAATAAATGTATATCTATAAACATATGCAACAATTTATACAACTATATAGAGTTACACACTTTTTTTCTTTTTTTTAATATATCTCTTTTAAATATTGCATATATTTCAAGTAATTAAGATACTTCCATATTTAAAAATGCTGTAATACCTCGAGTATTTACATATATTGTTTTTTCATTTTTTATTAATAAGGAATTTTTACTGAAGGTTTTGATGTAAATTTTCATTTTTAAAGAGCATAAAATTATGCAAATGAACATTTTTATAAAACTATATATAAGTATTTAAAAAATACATGGAACATATAGCAAATTATTGACTTTAGTACATATTCAAGTTGACAATTTTTTTTTTTTTTTTTTTTTTGTAAGAAAGACTTTCAAGTAAATTTTAAAATAAATATTCATTTTTTTTTTAATAAAATGAAATATGTTATATTAAAAATAAAATAGACTTTTATATGTTCTAATAGTTATTTTTAAAAGCTAAGAAAAAATTTCATAATTTTTAACTTTTCAGTAATTGTATTATTGGTCTCTCTTTTCTATCTTTTTTCATAAGTAACATTAGTAAAATTTAAGTAAATAACTTTCATTATTTTTCTTCAAAAGTGTTGATAATTTTTGATCTAGTATAATTTTCTAGTTCATTTCTAATTATTTCGTTAATTAATAATCTATATATGTAAATAAAAAAATAAAAATTGTTATAATTAAAAGAAATTTTTAAAGTTTTTAAATGTATGTATTAAGTTGATACATTAATAAAGAAAATAATCATGTAGTAAAATTTAGTTAGGTGATTAATTAATTTATATATTAAAAAATTTTCAAATAAATGTATCTAAAAATACTTAGTTATTTCATCAAAGGTAGGTCTCATAAAAGGATTATCATCAATACAGGCCAAAAGTAAATTTATTAAAAATTTATCCTATTAACAAAAAAAAAAAAAAAAAAAAAAAAAAAAATATGTATATATGGAGAATATTAAATAAATATAGACACATTTTATCAATAATATTACCTGAATATGAAAATGATTTAAATTAATATTATAATTGTGATGAGAAAAATAATGAAAATTCTGGTGTTTTAAAAATTTAGATATAATAATTGAAAAAGCCCAAATATCAACTTTTCTGTCATAAATGACACTTTTTTGTTCAGGAGCTAAATGTCCTTTAGTTCCACAACATTGACTCATTAAATATTCGAAATTTTGGTCTACTTTTCTTGATAAATTAAAATCAGTTATTAATATTTTATTATTCTTAAAAAAAGGAAAAAAATATAAATATAAAATTAAAAAAGTCATAACAAATTTTAAAAGAAATGAATACTTCAATTAAAGAAACATATGAAAAACAAAAACAGTTAAAAAAAAAAATGTTATATATCTATTAAACCTTTATTAGAATGTTATCAGGTTTTAAATCGCGATAAATGTAAAATTCTTTCCTAATATTTGGCTTATGAATAAAAGACATTACACTGACAGAAAAAAAAAAAAAAAAATAATAATAATAATATAAAGGAATTGAAAATTATAAAATATATAAATATTAATATTATTTTTACTTGGCTATTTCTAGAAGAGTTATTCTTATAAAATTTAAATTATACATTACAGTATTATCACAAAATACTTTTTCTTAAGGGAAAAAAAAAATAATTTCAAAAAAATATACGTATATAGATATATATATATATATATATGTATATATGTACACTACGTACCTAATGATGTATCAGCTAATTCTAAAAGAAAACATAAAGATTCTTTTTTTTCTTTTTCATATTGTCTGTTTATTAATATTTGATAACCTATAATAATAATATTAAAAATTTTATTTAAATATATAAAATTTTAAGATAATATTTAATTATTACCTTTAAATACACAATAAATTTGTATTACATTATTATGTGCCTTTTCTCTCATAATAAGAGATTCATTTAAATTAAATTCACTAAATGATATGTAAAAAAAAAAAAAAATAATTTATTTTATAAATGTCTTGATGTTTCTTCAATTATTTATATTACTTCATATCCATTATTTTTAGAGCGAAATTTGAAGTATTTTTTATACTAAAAAAAAAAAAAGAATCATAAAACTCTTGTTTATTTTTAAGTGATACTTTCCATACTTCACCAAAACCACCAATTCCTAATTTCTTTTGGAAGATAAAATATTCATCTAAATTTATTAACTCATTATTATTTTTCCAAATTCTAATAGAAAAAAAAAAATAATATAAAATATGCATATATGAAAACTAAACTAAATAAATAAATATGAAAGTAAAATTATTATTTTTTTGCCTTAAAAAAAAATTATCAAGATAGTTAAATTTAATTTCTATATTATTTAAAAAATTTGAAATGGTTATTTTAGACTGTATACTTAAATTTAATTTTGTGTTTATCTTTTTCTCCCAAAATATGGGTATTATACTTTCAATAATATTTTGTTCTTTATATATATAAAAAAAAAAAAAAAAAATTATATTAAAATATAATGTGTAAATAAAAAAAATGAAGTAATAAATTTAGGTAAAAAATACCTGGAACAGATGGTATTAAAACAAGATTAAAATATTTTACATTTTTATTCTCAATGTAACGAACAAACCTACAAGGAATATCCATAGAATCACATAGAACCTATTAATATGTTGATGTATATAAAAAAAAAAAAAATAAAAAAAATGAATTTCATATTAGCATTATTTATAATTGTGGAAACATTTTTATTTATATCTTTTTTTAAAAAATTTAACTTTAAATAATAATGATTTATGTCTATCTGATCCTTTTTTTACACTTCCAAGTAAAACAAAGTTATAATCAAAATTTTCAAAATAGAAAGTTTTTATACTTTCAGTATCCTCACCAGAATTTTCCATATTTTTTTTTTTTTTTTTTTTTTCCTCAGAGGAAAATATTTCAGAAAAAGTTCTTTCATGAATTTTAATTGATTTAGAATTACTTGATTTATTATATATCAAATTATCACTATTTTCTATTAAGTTATTATTTTCTATTTCACAATGCTTTCTCTTATTATTTTTCTTTTGTTTTTCTTTATAATTATTATCTTCATTGTCATTTTCTATATTTGAATTTCCTTTACTATTCATAATAAAAAATTTTTTTCTATCAATAATGTTTAAATCCTTCTCATTCTCTTTTTTATGAATACTGTCTTTATTGCAATTATTTTCAGCAATTTTACAATATTCAATAATATCTTGGTTTACGAATTGTTCAATATTATTTTCCTCATTCATGTAATCGTCATTTTCACTATCATCACTAAATTCACTTTCTTCATCTTCCTCTTCCTCATCATCATTTTCACTTTCTTCATCTTCAATTTCCTCATCATCATCTTCAATTTCTTCATCATATTCATTTTTTTTATCATCTTCAATTTCTTCATCATATTCATTTTTTTTATCATATTCATTTTTTTTATCTTTCTCAATATTTTCTTTTGTTTCTCTCTTATTTTGACAATTTCTTTTATTTTTTTTTTTCTTTTCTTCTTCATTTATAATTATATTTTCATTATCATATTTAATTAATTTGTCTACTAAATTTTCAATCTTTTTTATTTTTATTAAAATATTTTTAACATTTCTAACTTCCTTTTTAGCTGTATTAACTATTTCACTAATAAATTTATAAAAAGTTTAAACACATATTTATATATAAATAAGAATTTCTTTTTTTTATTTTAAAAAAAAAAAAAAAAAAAAAAAAAAAAATTACCGAAGTCTAGCATCACTGTTAATGTTCACAATTATATTAGTTATACAATTGCAAATATCATTTTCATTTTTACTACACTTTTTTTTATCATTTATATATTTTTTTATACACTTATTTATATTACTAAATAATCTTTTATTCATTAAAAAAAAATTTGAATAATCACAATCAAATATGGTGTTTTCATTAAAGCACTTATTCAATCCAATATACCTGTTAGGTACAGGTATTTCACCACTTAATTTTTTTTTTTTTTTTTTTAAATATTTAAAATTTAATTTATATTCATTATTTTTTATTAGGAAATCTTGTTTGATTAAATTCTTGTTGATATTTAAGTTCTTCCATGTATTATTTTGATTATTATTTATATAATTAATATTAGACAATTGGTTCTTCTTTATAAAACTTTTTTCTTTTTTTATTTTTATGTTATGTTTGTAAAAATATATTAACCTTAAATCTTTTATATCAATGGCATCATTAAATATTCCTGTTAATATGCATTTATTTTATTATTTTTTTTTATTATTTTTTATTATTTTTTTTTTTTTTATAATTATATTAATATGTTAAAATGAACAATGTATTGAACAAGTTTATCTATTTTTATGTAATATTTATTTTAAAAGTAAAGTATTTTTTTGTTAATAAAAATATATTAATTGTATATATTATTATGCTTTTTTTTTTTTTTTTTTTTTTTTTTTTTTTAACAATGATACACATTTTTATATGTTTTTCTAATACCTGACTCAAAAAATGTTTTTTTATTATATATTAGATTATCATAAAAATCTAAAATATATGTCTTTTTGTAACGATAATTTAGATTTTTTTCATATAGTTTGTTTAAAATAAAATCAATTAAATGCAAAATAACTTGATTATTTTTAATTTTTTTTTTTTTTTTTAATTTATTTAAAAAGTTTAATACTAAAAAATTGACTTGGTCAATATTATCAATCAAATATTTTAAACCAATTAAAATGTCATCTGTTTCCCCACTTAATAAAGGTAAAACCTCAAAAAAAAAAAAAAAAAAAAAAAA